CCCCCCTCTCCGGGGACCCCCCTGACCACCGGGGCAATCCCCCGAGGAGCGGGTGAGGCTAGCGGGGAGACGACCTGGGCTCACGTCGTCTCCAGAAAGGCCAAGAGGGCGGCGGCCAAGGCGCAAAAGGCCACGACGGCGCCACCCCAGCCGCCCGCCCGCAGGAAGACAAGAGCCGCCCCCAAAACATCCGGGGGCGGCCCCAGGAAGGGTGTGAGGTCAGGAACGGGAGGCGCTGCCGAGGGAACAAAATCCTCCGGCCAAAAAGCCTTCCCTCCCCAGACTTCGGGCAGCCACCTCGGCGGCGGTCACGATTACGTGTGCCGACGCGTCGTTGTACGCCGAGATGGTTACCAAGGCGAGGTCCTCGATCTCCCTGAAAGACTTAGGGATCGAGGACCTCAAGCCGAGGAGGGCTGTAACGGGGGCCCTCATATGGGAGATCGGAGGCCCGGAGAAGAACGCAAAGGCCGATTTGCTTGCGGAGAAGCTGTCGGCCGTGCTCGCGGACCGGGACGATGTTAAAGTGTCACGGCCCGCAAAGAGCGCCGAAATCCGGGTCACCGGTCTCGATGATTCGGCCACCTCCACGGAGGTGGCCGAAGAACTCGCCAAACTTGGCGAGTGTCCCCCACAAGAAATTAAAGTGAGGGACATCCGGAGGGCCCCCAATGGTCTATTTACGGCTTGGGTGAGGTGTCCCGTAGTGGCGGCCAAGCGCCTGGTGGCCACCCCACGCGTCAGAGTGGGGTGGTCGACCTGTCTCGCACTGCTGCCGGCCAGAGGCCTCCAGTGCTATAGATGCCTGGAGGCCATGTACAGCAGCAGTGCAAAAGCACTACTGACAGGTCGGGATGCTGTTTCCGGTGCGGGGGCATCAGCCACGCGGCCAACCAATGCCGCGAAAAGGCCGATTGCCCCGCGTTCCGGGAACTAGGCCGCCCCTCAAGGCACCGCATAGGCGGAGGCGGCTGCATGGCAGCCGCCGCAAGGAGGAAGAAGAGGGGGGGCTTGAAGCCCAGCGACCCCTCCTCGGCATCCGGATCCTCTACGGAGGCGGCAGCAGTGGCGGCGAGTCAAACGCCGTCGGCTGTCGCCGACGTGGAGATGAAGGAGGCGACGGAGCCGAATACGGCTAGCGTGAGCGAGGTACAACGGGCACCATAATGCCCTGCGTCCTCGCTCACACTAACCTGAACCACTCGGCGGGGGCGCAGG